TGGTCTGAGTTCCTGCATTTGACGGGTATTCAATGGATGCAGAATGGAGGTGTCAGCTGAATACGGTGATGGGTTTTGGCCGTTCCCGGAACATGTGCATTCCAAGCACCGCGTCATCCACAAACTCGGTCTAGTCTACAAGCGTTTCAAAATCTCAACGACCAAATAACGGGCGCGATGTGACATTTGTAACCTTAATGACAGACCAAAGCGAGTTGCGCATTCGTCATTCACATATGCGAGACAATCCACTACATTGCTGTCCTTGGGCTGTGTAACCCACCCTGCCCGCCAATGAGGAATGCCACTCAAACCTTGGGCAGCATAAAGTCGCCAGTCTTACCTAAGACGGAAGAGCTGAAGCCGTTGGTCTAAAGAGTCTTGACGCAGGGGAATTCCAGGTACGCGGAGGAGGTCTCATGACGGCACTTGCAGATCCGTCTGATGCGTGACGATTCTGTCACTTAAGCTGAAATGGAATTCATAGAGAACGCATCATCATCAGTATTGGATTGCCACGAAAGGCTGTGAGCGCCTTGGGGGGCTTCAAGAGGTGGACTTATCGAGAGAAGGCCATTCTCACTCTCTTCACTGACAAACCGATCTTATCGCTTCCACTGTGGATTACTACGAACAAATCCAGTATTGATGACTGATCTCTGCAAAAAGAAAAAAAGAAAAAAACACTCCCAAAGGCCCTGTAAGGTTACGATTCACAGAAATGCGGCAACACCAACTGGGTTTATGCTAGTAACGTTGACGGAACTCGTTTAAGCCATGACATTGAGAACTGCAAAAATAAGTTGGAAGTGACGCGTGTCGCACGGCCAGTTTTGCTACCAGCCGTTTTGTAAGAGAATCCGATCATAGTGGAAGAATGGTGTACCCACAAGTTGAGAGCCTTTGATTCCCCCGACGTTGTGTATTCTTCAGTAGAGACCCTAGATACTGTTGTTGGTCTTTGGAGCTGAGTACTGTGACGGTCCCAGCATTATAAACAATTTCTATACGATTGTGGTATCATACCTTGCTTCTTGAATCCTAATGAGAAATACCCCTTATCTCTGTCGTAGTATATTACATAGAAGTATGAATATGAAGGTTATAAGGGCAGGAGAATGCAGGTTGTGCTGCGATTTTAACTGCACAGTGTGGCTGCTTATGTTTCTGTCACGGCCCTCTTTGTAGCGGTGAGAGATAAGATAAGAAAGCAACATGCAAATTATGCTGGATCTTTGCTAATCCGCGACAGATAGACTTCTTAGACCCAGTAGTCTGTCAACTTCACACTGTGACATCACATTGCCGAGCAATGTTTTACTACTGCAGGGTAATTGTAAGCCATCGAGCCTACGAATTGCGAGAACGAGCAGTATTGTAAGGTAAGATGAACAGATAGATAATCTTCGATAAGACGCTTTCCAAACTAAAATGGACTTCTATCAGCGACGAATTTCGTCGGTATTCATCATCTGGTTAACACAATATCTCTTTGGGGATTTGTTCTGCTGGTAATGACCACATAAAAATGTCCATGTCGGGATGCCGAAGTTTGTCTGTCTGAGCAGCTCACAACCAGCAGCTCACCTCAAGTCAACGGTAGGCTATCGTCAATAATGTTCAATCTTACTTTTGGTTGCAAAGATTGCGAAGAGCTTACCATTATTACAATCAATGACGCTGGTTTTTCGGAATGATAAACCCGGGTCCCTGCACCCGTCACTTTCGTGGGGTAGCACTTTAATTGCTCGCATATGAACCAATCCTAGACACTTTAATGAGTGATCACATGTCCAAAACCTCAAAAATGTTATCTCAATGCGAATATTTCTCAGAACTGAGATACATATTCAATTGAGGCTGAATTTCCCATGTTCTAGGCTCTGAAAGGGCTTGGCTTAGGTGCTACACCTCCGCGGTGCAGCAGTGCTGCATCGTCCACTGATGTGTCAATTAATGAATAATGCCCTGTAGCGGCCACTGTTTTTCTTATCAAGATACCGCCCTGCAGGTCGCTTGGCCGCCGGCCAGTGATCAACCGTTTCTTATTCCCTCGCTTCAATGTTTGCACTGATAAGGGCGCATTCGGGGCTGGGGTTGTTGGCCAATTGTGTCCGTGCGTTCTTATCACTGCCCCCATGGGGAATTTCTTATCGTGCAGCTTCACCCGGGAATGGCTTATCTTGAGAGGCCCGCCGGCACTTGAACGGCGGGTTTATTATCTTCGACACTGGACCATGCACCCCAATCCATGGGATTATGCACTCCCAACGAAGCCTAATCGGGACAGAAATACTGACTTTCCAGCTTTGACCCATAGACGCCACTGAATTTCATCAGTCAATGCGGTGATCAGAGGCACACATTGCAGGTCATCAGCTAATTAGGTCTAGTGGGGGTGCATAATCTGGTTGACAGGGGTGCGTGATCCGGCATTGCATTATCTTAGGTTTTGCAAAACGGCTGTGGTGCTTGGATGTATATAACAATGATGAAGATCTCAATAAATGTGGTTGTGGCAAATGCTCTCGTGATAGACTCTTGAAATCTCAACACCAACCTTACTGCAAATATATCACAATGGCTGGTGGTGGCGGTCCTTCATCCGGCACAGTCGAGCCTCCTCTGAGCCAGGCCTACGGCTATGGTATCGTTGTTGGTCTCGGCTTTCTTTTTGCCCTCGGCATGATCTTCACGACGTGGGTCTTGAAACGGTATAACCATGAGAAGCAGACCTCGGAAATGTTCAACACTGCTGGCCGAACGGTCAAGTCTGGTCTCGTTGCTTCAGCTGTTGTTTCCAGCTGGACTTGGGCTGCTACTCTCCTCCAATCATCTGGCGTTGCGTACCGATATGGTGTCTCTGGACCATTCTGGGTAAGTCGACTGTTTGAAAATCGTGAACTGTGAATGGTGACTAATAATTGGAAAGTATGCTTCTGGTGCTACCGTTCAGATCATTCTCTTCGCCACCATTGCCATTGAGTTGAAGAGAAGGGCCCCTAATGCGCATACCTTCCTCGAGGTCATCCGGGCTCGATATGGCCGCATTACTCACTGCGTTTACATTTGCTTCGGTCTTTTCACCAACATTCTCGTCACTGCTATGCTCTTGACTGGTGGCTCTGCTGTAGTCACTTCTCTCACTGGCATGCACACAGCTGCAGCATGTTTCCTGCTACCTCTCGGTGTTGTTCTATACACCATGTTCGGAGGGTAAGTTGAAATAGATTTTGATGAACGAATAGGACTAACCCACGGCTTAGTATCAAGGCCACTTTCTTGACAGACTATGTCCATACGGTCATTATTCTCGTCATCATCCTCATCTTTGCGCTCACTGCCTATGCGACCGGCAGTGAACTCGGATCACCTGGCGAAGTCTACGATGCGCTCACCAAGGCCGCCGCCTCTCACCCCGTCGAAGGCAATGCTGAGGGCTCATATCTCACCATGCGATCTCGCGAGGGTATCATCTTCTTCGTCATCAACATCGTTGGCAACTTCGGCACCGTCTTCATGGATAACGGTTACTACAACAAGGCCATCGCAGCTCACCCCGTCGCTGCCCTCCCTGGATACATCATTGGCGGCCTTTCATGGTTCGCTATCCCTTGGCTCTGTGCGACTACCATGGGTCTCAGTGCTTTGGCCCTCGAGACGAACCCCGCCTTCCCTACGTACCCTAACCGTATGGACCCCGCTGATGTCTCGGCCGGTCTTGTTCTGCCCTACGCTGCTGTTGGCTTGTTGGGCAAGACTGGTGCTATTTGCACTTTGATCATGATCTTCATGGCCGTGACCTCTGCGACCTCGGCTCAGCTCATCGCTGTTTCCTCCATCTTTACCTATGATGTTTACCAGTAAGTTCTTCGTGTACAAAAGCTCATACCTAATGCTAACGCTTCTCCAGGACCTACATCAACCCCCAAGCTTCCGGTGGCCGACTCATTGGTGTATCACACACGACTGTCTGTCTCTATGGTCTTATCATGGCCAGTTTCAGTGTTGGCCTCCACTACGCCGGTATCAGCATGGGTTGGCTGTACCTCTGGATGGGTGTCATGATCTCCGCAGCCGTCATCCCCGCTACCTTGACTCTTCTCTGGAAGCGTCAGAACTGGATTGCTGCCGCGGCGTCTCCAGTCCTTGGTCTTTTCTGTGCGCTCATCGCTTGGACTGTCACCTGCGCTAAGGAGTTTGATGGTGTTCTTAGCGTTGACAACCTCGGTTCCAACAACCCTATGCTTGCCGGCAACGTTGTCGCTCTGTTGAGTCCTCTGATCTTCGTGCCGCTCTTCACATTCGGCTTTGGCTCAGACAGCTATGATTGGGCTTCTATGGCTGCTATCAAGCAGGCTGACGACACCAGCGACTCCAACGTTGACTCCGAAGGTGCTGTCGTAACCAGCTTTGCCGTTGCTCCCGAGGAAGACATGGCCAAACTCAACAAGGCCTCAAAGATCGCAAAGACAATGACCGTCTGCATGACAATCGCTTTCCTGATTCTCTGGCCCATGCCCATGTATGGAACATCCTATGTCTTCTCCAAGCCCTTCTTCACTGGCTGGGTTGTTGTTGGTATCCTCTGGCTGTTCTGCAGTTCCATCGCTGTTGGTCTATTCCCTCTCTGGGAAGGTCGACAAAGTCTTGTTCGGGTATTCAAGGGTATGTTTGGTATGGGGGGACCAGATGTTACAGAGGAGATCCAAGGAAAAGCAGTGCACGAGGAAAAGATTGATGAATTTGAAAAGCAGTAGTAGTTAGAAGATTGAGCATAATGTAGCTTATCTTGGTATATCATGATATTTATAGGGTTAAAAAGCGTTAATAAGCAGAGTCTTACGTCACCCAAGTCTACGATCATGTTGCAAAGTGGAGGCGTGATTTATCCTTCGCAAGTTGCAACTACCTACTCCACGCAAATCCCAGTCAGGTGCTTATCATCTATCTGTCTCATAACCCTAACTTCGTTGAGTTTGTAGAAGAGACCATTCAGAATGGTTACCATGAATTTGGCCTACAGCGCTCCCATCAACCCCAGCGGTGCGTCTCCCATCTTGTCAGAAGCTCAAGTCTGGAATGGCCTCAAGCGCAAAGTCCGGAAGGCCAACGCATTCGTGGCTCCCATTCTGGAGTGTGAAGTCCTCAGTGAAGAAGAAGCAGAATCAGGGACAAAAGTCATCCGACAAGTCACTTTTGACAAAGAAGCGCGAGGTAAAGATGATCATGTTGTCGAGGAGACTGTCTATGAATTTGCACCAACGCGTGTCGATTTCTATCAACCTGATGGCAGCAAAATCTTCAACATAGTCAGTGTTGACCAAGAGGGCAATCTGATTTTAACTTTTGTTTTTGAATGGCGACACTCAGAGGTCAAGGCAGAGAGCCAACAGGACAAGGAGTTACGCGAGAAGTATCTCAAAGTGAGCCTTTGCGTCCTACTTTTTAAAGCATCAAGACTGACATGGCATCTCAGATGGCCAAAGGAGCCGTGGAGGGTACCATCGCTTCCATTCGTAGGTTGGCTAAAGACGGAGAGCTTTGAGAAAGAATTTGGTCGGAAGCTAAGGAAGGGCACTTTTTGTTTTCCAGCTTGTTATGACGGGGTTCACCGCAAGGGGGTATCAATGTATCATCTAGGAAATACTTGCGAGAAGGACTGTGCTATACTAAAAGATCAGAAGCCAAAAAACGAAAGATTGCTCACTAAAGGAATGTTTTCATGATCCCAAATGATCCTCGAAGAGACTGCGCCTTTGACCAATACTAACGGCAGGATCATAACGCGATCGTCTGCTCTCGAAAATACTTCTCCTCAGTTTCGGGGCTCCTTATTGGAATGATCCAGATATCGTACGGAATATACCCAATATCGGTGCCAAGCCCATCCAGATCATTTCTGATTAGGCCTCGGAAGCGAACCTTCATGTCCTGAAATGCAACATCGTCGTTTTTATGGACTCTATCATCCCAACTCCTACCTTCGCGCTGAACAATAAATTGAACAGAGTCAATATCATCGAAGCCATGTATGAATTGAAACTCCGAAATTGACATGCGGCCAAATGTGCCGTGATGCTCCCATAGCGTGAAGTTTCCAGGTGATTTTTCGACACTGTATTTAATGCTATATCTTGGTCTCCTAGTGGTGATCTCTGGGGTTCGACATGCGGTATGAGGAAGAGGAGGTGGAGGCATAGCTCTAGCCGCTTGATTTGTCTCCAGGAGAGGGGTTATGTCTTCGGTGGCCAGCTGAGTCGTATCAAAGGACATTGGCTCTGAAGTCGCGCGCGGGTTTTGCGAGGTTCCGACATGAGAAGTTCCAGGAGCATCTGTTCCAAGCTCTGGACTAACGCGAGATCCTGGATCGCTTTGTCGACTTGGAGGTGGTGATAAGGATTGGGAATCATCCTCCGTGTCAAAGGTTGGTGTTTCGACAAAATTAAGGCGTTGGACGGGCCGGCAGCTGCGGCCTGATGAAGTGTATTTCTCGGTAAAACCATCAATAGCCCGAGCGATTGTTTCCACTGCGCTGGTAGCCTCTAGGCGTTCAGCCATCTGAGCAACAGGGGCAGTTGGTTCAGAAGAGATTGCAGTGTTGCTCGGAGTACTTTTGGCAGTTGTGGACGCTTGAGGTGGCGGTGTAGTGTTGCTCGTATTGCCTGCCGATGAGGTCTAGTATAGTCAGTTGATAACCTTTTATGCATCATGTCTGTGGAAGGGTAAATGTGCTAGCACCGAGAAGACCACCTACTTGAATATCTGGTTCCATAGGGCGTAAACGAATGTGGTCTATATCTGGAAGGCTGGTATCATCATCCGAATCGACTTCGTTCCCTGGGTCCGTGTCCATTTCATCGCTTGGAACTGAAGCTGACGCGGCGTTACTAGCAATAAACTGTTAGCTTGAGTGTAGAAATTAGTAGTTCACAATACCTTTGTCCAAGTGTTTGGGATCTCTGCCTCTCATGGCGTACAGCTTGTTTCTTCTTGGATGGTGAGCTAAGACCCTTTTGGTGTTCTTGCTGGTTGTGACGGAAGAAGAGCTGGGCAAGCAGCTTGACGATTCTAACACTAGGTAAGTGACATATTCTTGCAACAGTCTGAGGGGTCCTACTTTTGATCATCCTCTGGCCAGATAAGTGAGTCCCCAGAAGAAGAGCTCTCGCTTGCTGGCCAATATTGCTGTCCTCGGCCTTCTATGACTGCAAATCTCTTCGCCATATACTCGAGGTCAACTCTCTGTCTTGCATCGGTCCACTTAATTAGGGAAACCCCGGGCACTCCATCGCAAGTCTTATACCCCTCAATAAACTTCTTATAAGTCTGTACGAAGAATCGGCTGGAGGGATTGGACCGCGGATAACCCAAGGCGATCTGGAGAGGGGTTATTTTTGGAATGTCACCAATCTTCTCCTTGCTCATGGTTGATAGTGACTGTTGAAGAATAATGTGAGTCGAAAAAGCAAAGCTCTGCTTGTAGTTGAGATCCGGGTGTACACAAAAAATGCTAATAGGCCAAGACACTGAAGGAGTAGAAATGCATTTCGTGAGGGGAGGCCTCTGTCTGATTTTATGGTCAATTCTGCCTCAGCTGAACATCCCGGCCAAGTCGAAACCTGGGGAGAAACGTATGTGAACCTTAAGCGCTCTCAGAAACCTCTAGGCCTCTGAAGTTGGCCCCTCAGCCTCGCGACAAAGAGAATCATGGAAACAAACAGATCGACACATATCTGCGCTTCGGGCTTTTTGAGCGTTTTTAATCTCAATTTTATCGTCTTGAAATTGAAGTTTTATCAGCCGAGATATTTGCGGTGAGAATTGGATGTTGGAATGACTTAATCCGTATCGAGAAGTTATGTTGGTTCAGAACCAACAGCTTCGGGGATGAGGGTGTACCAACTGCATGAGCTCAAGCCAATAAAAAGAGTGATTTTTAGGCAGAGAGAGGCGGTGATCCATAAATAGTACAGCCTCTGCCTTTTTTGTCAATATGTCCATTTTATCTGTTTCACTTTCGCCGTCTTTGGATTTTGCCATTGATTCTGAAGCAATTGCTGCCTTTGATGTGTTGTCGCTGCGGCGCAGCCCTTGCATGGATGGGTCATGATCAAATATGCCTTACACAAGAACCATGAGCTACACCGAATTGCCTATCGAGAAATTGAAACCAGTGAAGGGGAAGTAATTGAGTATCCATAAATGCATCCTACGGTCTTTTTATTCGTTTCTTACTCGTTTCTAGCAGCAAATCCGTGCTGTCATTGGCTGATGCTCCCTCATTACATCGGCTCATTTGACTCTGGCAGAATTGTTATCCGAGAGTGATATTCCCGCAGCATCAACCTGACAGTTCGTTAATCGGCTAACTGATCTGATTGCTGCCAATGTCCTTTGCCCCCACCGAATACAGTGCCTGGTTCTCATGCAATCGATTGCCTATCCCAAGCCGTCTTTTCTTTGCATCAGGCAGCTTTTCTAGAACTTCTATTGTACTTGGAATGGGGTCTCCGCTACGCCACCTCTGCTGTCAACTGATTCAGATGAACTCAATCGCAAGCTAGTTCCCTAGTGTCCTCAATTGGTCCACAAGCTGCCGGCATTAGAGGATTACATGCCCAACCTCCATCGTGAGCTGTGACGTGACAATCATCCAGGCTTCTAATGGTCACACATTTCCAACGCTGCACAAAAACGTGTCGCGTATTCCATCTTCTGACCTGGTTTCTCAGGGACATGTACTGCCTGAGCACGCAATAACTGATGAAAAAGACAATCATGTTGCCGACATCAGCCCGTCAATGACTCGGGCAGCCCATTCCCTGTAGGAGCGGAGAAACGTTAAGCTTGATTACTCAAAAGTCAAGCTTATTATCCCACGTCCAAGAGAGTCGTTACGCAAGAATCTCTACCCATCAAACCCCATCAGGCAGGTGAATAAACACGCCGATCCCTCCCCGCAGCAAAGCCAAGTAGCCAAGCCAGTTCAGCCATTGGCCAAACCTGGGGAGCTTCCCAAGAGGGTTACAACGGCAAGGCATGACGACATTCGCGAGAGCTATCCCGAGCTCAGGATCGTAAGCTTACTGACTGGGAAGGGAAGTTCATCCATCATGATAAGAGCTTTGGCAAATCAAAGGCGAGCTTGGCCCGAGATGGGATCCTGTTTGTTGGGAATACCAAGGACCTAAGTGTTGTTTATGCAATGGTTCCATTCTAAGGTAACATGACACTGCAGCATGGGGTTGGTCATGCTTGCGAGAGTTGCATTTATATCCGAAGCTTCCCATTGCTCCACGACTACTTCCCCTCCCAGGCCAAATGTTGTGAAGTTCAATTGGCATCGAACCTTCAATATGCATTTCCGACAGCTCTCGACAATCGCAGCTTTCGTAGCTGGCGCAACTGCTTGTCAGCGCGATCTCGTTTTGGGCAAGCGACATACACATCGCCAGCCACTGACCAAGCGCAATGCCGATTGGCCTCCAGTCTTGACGGAGCAAGAAACTCTCCTTGTCAATTCTTTTGACAATTCATCCATTGACAAGTGGTCTGACTACTACGGCCACCAGAATAAGTTGGCCGGCTATGGAAAAGAAGCTGCCCAGTGGACCGCTGATCGTTGGTCCGAGAGCGGATTTGATGCGCATCTGGCCGAGTACCATGTGTTCCTCCGATATCCAGTCAGTTCATCTCTCTACTTCACCGGCCCCAACGGTACAACCACCGAGGTGAACACCAAGGAGGAGGTGCTGGAGGAAGATGATGTTACAGGCTGGGATGTCCTTTCACAGCAGACCTGGTTGGCCTACTCGCCGACTGGAAATGCTTCTGCCGAATATGTCTACGCGGGGTGAGTAAAGCTCCAAATGTATTTTGATACTGATCACTGACTTTTGAACGCTAGCCGAGGCTCAATTGACGATTTCGATCGACTAGTCGAGCTTGGGGTTGATTTCAAGGGCAAGATTGCTCTTATCAAATATGGTGGTCTGTTCCGTGGCCTCAAAGTCAAGAATGCTCAAGACCACGGCGCCATTGGTGCCATTATTTTTACTGACCCTGGCGATGATGGAAACATTACGGTAGCCAACGGTTACGAGGCTTATCCTGGTAAGACTTCTCATATGACAACACTGGAAAGCGCATGCTAAGTAAATGTCAGATGGCCCTGCCAGAAACCCCAGCTCTGTCCAAAAGGGCTCAACACTATTCTTGTCCACCCGTACTGGCGATCCCACAACTCCTGGCTACCCCTCGAAGAAGGACTCCCCTCGAGCTGATATCTCTGAGGTCATTGCCAAGATCCCAGCTCTGCCGATTTCTTACTCGGCCGCTCAGCCTCTGCTGCAGGCTCTCAATGGCCATGGCGTTACTGCTGAGAAGGTTAATCGCACTGCTTGGACCGGCGGCCTCGACGCTGACTACAGCTCTGGTCCTGCCCCTGGCGTGAAGCTCGCTCTCAGCACTGTCTCTCGTGATTCTATTGAGCCTGTACACAATGTCATTGGCGTCATCAACGGAACCAATGCTGACGAAACTATC